AATTTCTTGAAATGTTTGCTACCTTAGAATATTCCCCTTTCTGTGAGAACCATTGTATGTACAAAGATAACCTTCTAACAACCATGGTTATGACATGTGACTCTAGACCCTGGCCGCACGTAATTGAACCACAAGGGGACATCTGATCCAGGTTGGGTTGTACAAAGTGTCTCTCCTGTGAATTTGGGATTGGGATCAAAGACACTGGTCTCAGTCTCAGCAGGAGGCTGAACTACAGAGATGTGAAGCTGGGGGCTATGGGGTGAGCAGGAGAGATGGAGAGAGATTTTTTTCCTGGTGAGGACACGGGAGAGGAGTGCAGACAGCCCATGGAGCCCCCGGGAAGGAGCTGCACAGGGGGTGCAGCCTGGCTCCAGAGGACCCTTCAGTTTCTGGCTCCAGGCCCTTAGGATGCCCGATGGTACTCTTGATTTACATTCCTTGAGCGAGCTACACCTAGGGTCCTAAGAATGAGACTCCCCCTAATGCTGACGCCAGTTACATATGTATTTCTGATATCTTCAACTGAGAGAGCTCTAAGATGATGGTTACTGTTTATTTACCTTTGAGTGAGAGACAAACAGAACACGAGAGGGAGAGGGGCAGAGAGAGAGAGAGGGAGACACCGAATCGGAGGCAGGCTCCAGGCTCTGAGCCGCCAGCACAGAGCCCAATGTGGGGCTGGAACCCACGAACCGTGAGATCATGACCTGAGCCAAAGTTGGACGCTCAACCGAGTGAGCCACGCAGGTGCCCCTAAAACGATGGTTAAAATAGCAACATCACTGAGTCAGCTGAACTCAGATCATCTCCATTACCTGCTGGACATTTTGGCCTTTAGTGACATACTCGTTCCCAACCTTCACCCTCGGACAGCACAGGCCCTTCAGCATTTCTGCAGAGTTCAGACCCATTAAGTATCCAGCTTTGTCAGCCACTGGAGGAAGAGGGGAAATAGCGTCACACAAAAACAGCAGCTGCTGATGTGGCCAGTCAGGCTCCAGGGGCCTCCCAGAAATGTTTCCTACAATCCTTTTGTTTTTGTGTGTTTGTTTTTAAATGTTTGTTTCTTTATTTTGAGAGAGACAGACAGAGAGTGCCAGTGGGGAAGGGGCAGAGAGACAGGGAGAGAGAATCCCAAGCAGACTCTGTGCTCCCGGCTCGTGGGTTCGAGCCCCGCGTCGGGCTCTGTGCTGATGGCTCAGAGTCTGGAGCCTGCTTCGGATTCTGTGTCTCCCTCTCTCTCTGTCCCTCCCTCTCTCACACTCTCTCTTTATCTCAAAAGTAAATAATAAATGTTAAAAAATTGAAGAAAAGATACAGTTACATAGTAATTTTGGAGTCTGATAATGCAGCAAAATGGTGTCTGAGTAAAGGAGGCACCATTTGGACATATAGCTAAGCACCTTCTTGATTTATGCAAGCTCACAGCTGAGAAAGAAGTACAAAACTTTGCCCCAACCTTCCTGTGTTGGAAGAGGTCAAAAGCAGTCGAGTATTGGCAATTTCACACAGTTCACTGGGAGTTCAGTTGACTTGGGGACGGACCTGGCTGCCTGCACTGAACTAATCGAGACGGTCAAGAAATGTTGTTTCCCTAGAGACAGCTCCTTCTTGGCTGGGACCATCACCTTATTGCTGGCTCGGGAGACGAGCTAATAAAAATCCAGGACAGTATTTGTTAAGTATTTAATAAGAGGCCAAATGGATGCTTTCTTCTTTGCTCCAACTATTCTCTTTTCCTGCTTTGCCCGCTTAGGTGGGTGGTATAATTATTGTTCTAGTCACTTAAACTTGAATGCTTGGGGTTGATCATATCCCTCCTTTACATCCCTGATGTGCCTGTGGTCAGACAGGCATCAAATCCTGCTCACTTCACCTTCAAAATGGCTTGGATCTCCATTGTTTGGAATAGTAGAGTGGTAGAGAGCTTGGGCTCTCGACTCAGCCTGATGTTCACATTTTGGTTTTGCTTCCTCGTACTCATGGCTTTGTTTTTGGTTTTTTGGGTTTTTTTTGGTTTTTGTTTTTGTTTTTGTTTTTTTGTAAACTGGTGGCAGGGTGATTCTTGGTGGTTTCCCATCGGTTCGGTTGTTGGGAAGTAGGCCTGGTGCATGGTGAGCCCTCAGCAAACGTTTACTTGGATTGGCATCCTCATCAGAGGACCTCAGGCCTGGATCACTTTCCCCTGTTCAGGCTCTTTCTGCTCCTAAGCACTGAGCACACGGCTGCCAGGGCTGGAAGGGGGCCTGGGGCCCCACCATGATATTTATAATACGAGATCCACCCTTTGCCGAGGAGCCTGGTACATTTTCTTTTCAAACCCCCACACTCTTGGCAACCTTGACTGGTCACAGATGAACTCACACGAATCTCCCCTCCTATGTGGACCGTCCATGGTTTCTGGTGCCTATCACATCCATTCTAGGCCTTTGAAAAGGCCTTTTCAAACTGAGGCCAAAATAACTACTCTTTAATTCCCATGTCTTACACTTACACACATCCTCTTCTGCAGCCAATGTGGACCACTCTGCTGTTTATTGCCATCACATTCCTTCTCCTGCCCCCTTGATCATCATGTTTCCTCTGCCCAGACTGTCTTTCCTTTCAACCATACCTTTCAGGATCTACCCACCCTTCAAACTCTGCATCAGTGCCCTCCTCCCCCAGGAAGCCCTCCTCGATTACCCCCAATCAGAAGTGCTTCCTGTTCTGAACACAGCCTCTCTCCCGCTGCTTATCTGGCACCATTGCCAGAGGCAGGATTCCAAGATGGCCTCCAGGATTGGTGCCCCTGGTATATATTCCCTGCATAATCCCCTCCACTTGTGTGGGGGTAGAACCGGTGAATGGGATATGACCTGTCACTCCTGTGAAGAGGTCACTAAGGAAAAGAGATTATCCTGGGCAACCCTAGCCTAATCAGGCGAGGCTTTATGGGCAGTGGTAAAGTCACGTATATTTTCCTGGTCTTTCTTTCAAGGCTACTGCACCCCTGTATCATCTGGGGTTCAAGACACAGTGCTTCCCATAGTGTGGGGATGTTACAGCAGGTAGGATTATTGGAGATGAACCAGTCTTTTACTTAACAGAGCTTGGAAGACACGGCAGGAGAGAGATGAGGGGAAGAACAGGGGGTATGGGGGGGGTGTCCTGCTGCTGTGAGCCCCTCCCACTGCCCTCTGCTCTGTTTCCAGGAGGGGGACTGGAGATCATCCAGGTGAGAGCCATGGGGCGCACGGAGATGCATACACTAGTCCGTGGTTCGGGGTTCAACTTCAACAGATGTCACAATTAAAGGCAACGAGAGGAGGAGAACTCCTCACCTGGTCTTAGGCTCAGGTGCTTAAGGACAGTATTCTGGACACTAATCATGGCATGCACAGAGAGAAAGTGAAGTTCATGGAACCATATCCTCTTAGAAATGTCTACCCCCAAATAACAGGTGAGCTGTGATAGTGAGCAGTAGTGGTGTGGACAGTGATTATTCACTCATGAGAATGCCCAGACGTGGTTACCTTCGGTGCCGTCAGGCTCCGCCTGCTCTTCTCGCTGCTTCTGCTTGAACTTCATGTTCCCATAATGCATCACGGCGCCTGTCAGCTTGTAGATCCCGACTTTCTCCTCTGAGCTGAAGCCCAGAATGTCAATGGCGTTCTGGGAGTTAGAAAAAGGACAGTTGTCACAGAGACTCTGTTTTCCCTGGTGAAGACCTCACCCTTTCTGTACAGCCCGGGAGATGGCGTTTGCCCAAAGGAGTGGTTGACAGGTGGGATGTGTTAAGATAGGGGTTAAAAGCCATTTCTTTGTGGCGCCTGGATGGCTCTGTCGGTTAAGCGTCTGACTCTTGATTTCAGCTCAGGTCATGATCTCATGGTTTGTGAGTTTGAGCCCAGCCGTCGTGCTCTGTGCTGACAGTGTGGGGCCTGCTTGGGATTCTGTCTCCCTCTCTCTCTGCCCCTCCCCTGCTCGTTTTCTCTTTCTCT